GGCCACGGAGGGAGGGGGGAGGGACACCAAAGGCAGAATTTGGTGTAATCGGTGGAATGATGAGAGTTTCCGCCTTGGTGGCCCATAAGCTCGGCACGAAGGGTTCCGTGTCTACATCTGACACACGGTGCCGTGTTGGGGGATCGGGGAAGAGAAGGTCCATGTGGCAGAGTCTCCTCATCAGACGTGGTCACTTGGTGGATGGACACCTGACCTTCTGCCATAACACTTTAGAATGTTGTCTGTGTCCCCCGAAGATGAGATGTCTCCTCTCTTCCTGTTCCTGTGATGGTAGTATAGTGGAGGAAGAAATCTTCCTACACTCAGGTGACTTCCTGTTGCCACTGTTCACCTAAATGTCTGATCACATGACACTCTACACACAGAGTTCAGGCTGACGTCTCAGTTCCGGTGAGCGGGGCTTTGACACCATGAAATTCCCTACGTTGGGTTTGCTGGTCTTCTAAGATCTTCTCCTTGTCCTTCCTCAGGGCCGCCCTGGACCGCGCCGCCGTCCTACTCAGAATAAAGAGAGAGATCATCCGGCTGGACAACGTGTGGGGAGTCGGAGGAGGACAGAGACCCGTCACACATCTCATCAAGGAGGTAACTCCATGGGGGGCGAGGCCTTGAGGGCCGAATATCTATATACTGTGTACAGGAAGAGACATCGGTGTAAGAATGACGGCCACCACGGGGCCGGGCTCACCATCGGGGTTAGAAGCTACGTGTGGAGTTCAAGGTCATGGTTGGAAGTTGAAGTGAGGGTTAGTTATAGGGGGTGCTTGTAGAGTTGGCCAGGTGAGGGCCAAAGACCAGTTTTGGGATTAGGTGTTTGGGGTTAGGATGAAGGTTGGGGCTAGAAGCCAGTCTCGGGATTAGGGGTTTGGGGTTAGGATGAAGGTTAGGGCTAGAAGCCAGTCTCGGGATTAGGTGTTTGGGTTTGGGGGTTAGGATAGAGGTTAGGGCTAGAAGCCAGTCTCGGGATTAGGGGTTAGGGTTAGGATAGAGGTTAGGGCCGGGAGCCAGATTTGGGATAAGGGGTTCATTATAGGGTGAAGAGTAAGGCCAATGGTTGGGAGAAGACCTTTAGAGTTGGGTTGAGGGATGGGGTTAGTGCATAGGTTTGGGGGTCTAGAGTTGAATAGGAGTGAAGCCATGGAGGCCAGCTCTGGGATTTGGAGTTGGCCTGATGGTTGGGGCTAGAGGCCCAGTTTGGTATTAGAGGTAAGGAACCGGGTTATTGATAGAAGATGGGAGAGGTTGTTAGTTATAGGGTGAAGAGTAAGGCCGATGGTTAGGAAAAGACCTTTAGATGCGGGTTGAGGGAAGGGGTTAGTGCCAGGGTTTAGGGACTTGGAAGAGGAGTTCAATAGAGCTAGGAGACTGGATCAGGAGTTTGCCTGAAGGTTGGGACTAGAGACTGAATTTGGGGCTAGAGGTTCTGAATGGGGGGTTATTCATAGAGTGAATGGTGAGGTTGAGAATTGAGTCCTAGGAAAGGCTTCCCATTAAAGGGGGGTTGAGGGATGGGGGCCAGAGAGTAGGGTTAGGGTTCGGAATTGGAGTGCGAGTGAGTGGTTGGAGGCCAAGTTTGAGGTTAGGCTTTAGAGTTATGTTGAAGGTTCGAGTTGTTGCTTCTGTTGAGGGTTGAGGTTAGATCCAGGGTTGGAAGGTGACAAACGGGGGTTAGGGTTAGAGTTGATGAGTTTTTAGGGTTGGGTTAGGTTAGGGGGTGTTAGGTTTAGTGTTGGAGGTTTTAGGGTTGGGTTAGGGGGTGTTAGGTTTTAGGGTTGGGTTAGGTTTAGTGTTGGAGGTTTTAGGGTTGGAGGGCCAAGTAAGATATTTCTTATGATGTTTTGTGGTAGGATTGGCCTGCTGAGTGCATACGAGTCAGCAAAAATGAGGATTAGAGTTGGGTTTGCTCCTGGTATGAGGGCAGGAAATGGTTGGCGTGCTGGTTGACATTTCGCATTAAGGGTTTCATTTAAGAGTTGGAATCGGGGGCATGGGTTGGTTGAGGACCAGATGAGGGCCCGAGCTTAGATTAAGGGTTTAGAATTGGGATTGCATCCTGGCATGAGGGCAAGAATCGGGGTCAGCTTTGGTTGAGGACCAGATGATAGCAGAACTTAGTTTAGGGATTAGATTTGTGGTTGTGGCTTGTCTTGAGGGAGGGTTGGTGTCTTGGTTGACAATTAGCATTAAGGGTTTCATTTAAGAGTTAGAATCGGGGTCAGGGTTGGTTGAGGACCAGATGAGGGTCCGAGCTTAGTTTAAGGATTAGAATTGGGGTTGTGGCTTGGCTTGAGGGCAAGAAACGGTTGGTTGAGGTTGGGCCAAGTTCCTTCATCCAGTTGCTCTAGGACATTGTAGGCGTCGGTCCGCGGTATAGAAGCCGATGACATAATTGGGTTGCTCTAGGACATTGTAGGCGTCGGTCCGCGGTATAGAAGCCGATGACATCATTGGGTTGCTCTAGGACATTGTAGGCGTCGGTCCGCGGTATAGAAGCCAATGACATCATCCGGTTGCTCTAGGACATTGTAGGCGTCGGTCCGCGGTATAGAAGCCGATGACATCATCCGGTTGCTCTAGGACATTGTAGGCGTCGGTCCGCGGTATAGAAGCCAATGACATCATCCGGTTGCTCTAGGCCATTGTAGGCGTCGGTCCGCGGTATAGAAGCCGATGACATCATCCGGTTGCTCTAGGACATTGTAGGCGTCGGTCCGCGGTATAGAAGCCAATGACATCATCCGGTTGCTCTAGGACATTGTAGGCGTCGGTCCGCGGTATAGAAGCCGATGACATCATCCGGTTGCTCTAGGACATTGTAGGCGTCGGTCCGCGGTATAGAAGCCAATGACATCATCCGGTTGCTCTAGGACATTGTAGGCGTCGGTCCGCGGTATAGAAGCCGATGACATCATCCGGTTACTCTAGGACATTGTAGGTTTCGGTCCGCGGTATAGAAGCCGATGACATCATTCGGTCTAATGACGCTTTGCTCTCCATTCTTCCTCCAGATGAACCTTCTGCTGCAGGAGTTCCTGTCGTCAGGCCAGATATCGGAGGCGGAGCGATGTCTGCGGGAGCTGGAGGTGCCGCACTTCCACCATGAGCTCGTCTACGAGGTATCGGCAGGAGAATGAAATGTGTCTTGGTGGGATTGTTTGGGAGGTCATGAGGCAATGTCACGGCTTCAGTCACACGGAAGGAGGCGTGTCGGCGGCTTTGTTGTGGAGACCTCCAAGCTTTCCTCAGATACGGGTCCGGGATTCTGTCCGGTGGGCTGGGAGGTCCTGTAGGAACAAGTCATGGGTACAACACAAGGAGACCGCCAGCTCCCGAAATAATATCCCCCGCCGGAGGAAACTCAAACACGCGTAGTAATGACTCGGTGGGAGTGTCCCAGGTCTGTGATTGGTGGATTAGCTCCAGGCGTGGAGATCTTCCCGCCCCTATTGGTCAGTGGGAGTGTCTCTGCGTTTCTGATTGGTGGATGTGCATGGAGGTGTTGGCCTTAAATGTCGTCATGGGATTGGTATAATATACATTGGGTGGGTGCAGATATAGTACACGGCACACACACGCATGGTTCATGTATGAAGTCCTCCGTCATTGACGTGTCTCGTCCTCCCCAGGCGGTGGTCATGGTGTTGGAGGGCTCAGCCGAGGGTCACGTTCTGATGATGGTGAAGTTGTTGAAGGCGTTGTATGACAGCTGTCTGATCACCCTGGACCAGATGAACCGGGTAACATGTCCTGTGCCGATTTATACATATCGCTTACACGCGTGTGCTGAGCGCGGTGCTCACTCTTCCCGTGTCCTTGCAGGGGTTCCAGCGCGTCTACTCCGAGCTTCCCGACCTCAGCCTGGATGTGCCGAATGCTCAGAACGTCATGGAGAAGCTGGTGGATCTGTGCTACCAGGAGGGCGCCATCACCCAACAGCTACGGGACCAGTGCCCAATCAGGTGTGTGTGTGAGGGGCGGAGCTTAGACGAGACTTCCTTCTGGTGTTAGGGGCGGGGCTTAGGAGGCTTCCTTGTTTTATTACGGAACATCAGAGGGAGGAGCACTTGGAGGAGGCTTTCTTCCTGTGTCTGGGGTATCTGTGAGACAGGAGCCTTGAGAAGGGTTTCTTCCTGTATCAAAGAATATCCATTAGGGGAGGAGCTTAAAGCGGAGCTTTCCTTCTTGTATCAGGGGAGGAGCTTAGAGTAGGCTTCCAATGTGTAGCAGGGAAGGTGCTTAGAGGAGGCTTACTTCCTGTATCAAGGAGTATCGTTTAGAGGAGGCTTCCATGTATCTGGTGCAATAATGAGGGGGAGGAGCTTGGAGAAAACTTCCTTCTGGTTTTAGGGGCGGGGCTTAGGAGGTTTCCTTGTTTTATTACAGAATATCAGAGGGAGGGGACTGGGGGGTTTTCATGAGTAAGGCAGAACTTGGAGGCTTTCTTCCTGTATCAAAAAATATCCATTGGGGGAGGGGCTTAAAGGTTTCCTTTCTGTATCAGGGGAGGAGCTTAGAGTAGCCTTCCTGTAGCAGGGAATATTAGGAGGAGGAGCTTGGAGGCTTCCATGAATCTGGTGCTATAATGAGGGGGAGGAGCTTGGATGAGACTTCCTAATGGTATCAGAAAATACCAGTTAGAGGGAGCAGCTTAGAGAAGGGTTTCTTCTTGTATCCGGGGTATTCATAGGGGGAGGGACTTAGAAGAGGCTTCCTTCTTGTATCCGGGGTATTCATAGGGGGAGGGACTTAGAAGAGGCTTCCTTCTTGTATCCGGGGTATTCATAGGGGGAGGGACTTAGAAGAGGCTTCCTTCTTGTATCCGGGGTAATCATAGGGGGAGGGACTTAGAAGAGGCTTCCTTCTTGTATCCGGGGTATTATTAGGGGGAGGGACTTAGAAGAGGCTTCCTTCTTGTATCCGGGGTATTATTAGGGGGAGGGACTTAGAAGAGGCTTCCTTCTTGTATATGGGGTATTACTGGTGAGGGGAGTTTAGAGAAGGCTTCTTGTATCTGGAGTATTGGGGAGGAAGCTTAGAGGAGACTTCCTTCCTATATCCTTAGGGGCGGAGCTTAGAGGCCTCCTTCCCATATGCAGGGTGCCACTCCCAGGCCCGGGGTAGAGAGAAGTCTCCTTCCTGCATCCAGGGTATCTACAGAGGGCAGAAAGCTGTAAAGGGGCACTCTTCTTATACGCAGGCCACCATTTTTTTGGGAGGGGCCTTCTTTTTGTATGACTGTGTGGGAGGAGTTTAGTTCCCGCGTGCGTGGCTGGACAGTTGCAGATCATGTGATCTTATAATGACCATGACCCGGATATAAATATTGGACTCTCTCCCCGTAGGGGCCGAAAACGTTTTGTGAGTGAGGGGGATGGAGGACTCGTCAAACAGTGACTGGACCCCTCCCGCCGGGGTCGGAGGTCAGAGACCCGGGGGAGACCGAGATCTTCTGATGTACAAACAAACCAAAATAAACGGGTAAACCGCAAATGACTCGGCTGTTTTATTGGTGAGCTCTGCAGAGCATTGCACCCCCCAAAGGTTCCCCCAAATTATATCCTCGCAGGGACATGTCCACGTCTACAATTCCCAGAAGGGTTTTTGGATGAGACCTATATAGGACATTGCTAGTTCTCCGGGACTTGGAGGACCTGCTTCTCCTGGTAGCCCCCCTATGATGTGACTAATGCAAGGGCGGTGAGCTATTTCTTCCCATTGTACGTACAATAGAGAGAGCCTTTCCCGCACCCCTGGACTGGCATCACTTAATCTCCTTGAGGGGGGTTTACTAGAAGAGTTGTATTTATCTAAGGTCTACCTTGTTACGGGGGCCCGGCCCTCGTTGGGAACTTGTTTTGTTGGCCTTTTTTTATTTCGAAACCTTCTGGAAATTTCCTTTCCTTGTCTGAAGAACGGGACAAAACAGTTCCCAAAAAGGTAACCTTCCTCCGACTGGAATTCTGCTGAGCCTCTCCTGGAAGTTACGCCCCCCCCTCCTCCGAGGCTTTCAACCATATGGTCCTTCAGGCAGAATGTGTTGGGGCTGTAGCTCTAGATGTGGCTTTGATGGACTCCACTGTGGCATCGGCTAAGCAAGGCCGAGCACCACTGTGGCATCGGCTAAGCAAGGCCGAGCACCCGAGGAGAGACGAGGATTGAGTCCCTCTACCCATACGTACATCCAGGTTCCTCGCCTCGCACGTGGAAGCCAAAGCCGGGCCTGGAGAAAGAGAAGCATTCCAAGTAAAGATTCGGCCTTCCGGTCCGTCTTAACTTTTCATTACTTCAGAACCTTCAAACAATGATCCCGTGTCCTCAGATACCTGGGAAAGAGCTGCGTCTACTTCAGAACTGAAAGGGTCACGTAGAAGACAACTTTCTCTCAGGATCCTTCAAGATCATATGTTTAGGAGATTGGTGGGCAGGAAAGGTCCATCTCACTCCTTGTAAAGTCTTACGCGTTTTTGCCTTGAGTTGAAGGCACGGGCTGGACATCTTCTCAAACATCTCATCGGTCTCCATTCAAGGCATCTCGTTGTGCTCAGTCACATCACCATCTTTCCCTACAGCAGGCTCTCCTGATGAAGGACCTGAATCCCCCCCCCTCTTCTAAATCTGAGACCACCTACGTGCTCATGGTTTCTAGACCTGGAGCGATTTAAGATTAATGGTTTAGGTTCGAAGGGGCGGGCCCTAGATCTGAAGGTGTAGGCTGAGAGAAGGTGGAACAATTTGGGAGAAGCTCTCTTCCCTCGGGCTTCCTGCCTGGGGAGGGTCACGTCCTGTGCCAGGAACCTGAGCATCTGATGGTGGCACTGTGGTCCTCAGACCTGAAGCATGTAGTTCCAGTATCCACCAGAGGGTGTCTCCCAGGAGCCAGCACTTAGTCTCCACCTGATACTGGCAGCTGGGGGGGTGTATTTGGCTCCTCCCTCGGGAAGCTCTTGGTGCTCCAGCATTTTACCAGTGTGTCCATACTCTCTTGTCCCGCAAACCTGGACCTCCCAATCCTGCTCCCCGTCTACCTGACCTCCATTCTACCTGCTGCTCCTCCTACCTGACCCTGATTTCCTCTTATCCGGTGTGTGTACGTAGTTTGTTAGGTAGGTGTGCTTGCTGGTGTTTCATAGATTGCTGTGTTGTGTCCTCCATAAACCTTCTCTCTGCACTTCGGGTCCAGTTGTGCAGCTCCCGTATCTGGTCACACCTGCTTTGCAGTATCCGGAGACTTGGGTCCTTGCCTAGGGAGGGCAGCCATGTGCCTGGATGTGGTTTTCCTGGGGTGGGATTAGACGTGGGCACCAAGGAAGAATATGAGATGGGGGGGGGTGGGGGTACCTGGATGGTTGGACCTCGTCTGAAGGGTGGTCTCTCTTTGGCTCGGCGTTCTACGGCTACTTCATCTGCTCTACAGCCAGAAGCTCGTGTTCTCAGGACGTCTCGATGGCTTAAAGCAGGGGGGGGTCTCAAACCTCCGGCCCTCCAGCTGTGGGGGTGGAACTACAAATCCCATGAGGCATGGCAAGATTCTCACAGACATGACTCCCGGAGATGCATCATGGGATTTGTAGTTTCACCCCCCACAGCTGGAGGGCCGGAGGTTTGAGACCCCTGGCTTAAAGGTTCTCTCCCCGAGAAGGCTGAGAGTCCACGTTCCCCTTTCGTTCAATCGCCGGAGTCTTCTGTGTTCCCAGGTCATGTGACCAAAGTTACTGAATCAATTCCCTGCAAGCAAAAGATCGACCGTGTGGAAGTCGGGTAAGTGGCCACCAGTAGAGGTTCGGTGTGCACTTGGGGCATTTGTAGAACCATGTACCCCCCAGGGGTAGCCAAACTCCTGGCCCTCCAGCTGTGGGGTGCAACTACATATCCCATGAGGCATTGCAAGATTCTCACAGCCAGACTTGACTCCCGGAGAGAGAGAGAGAGATGCATCGTGGGATTTGTAGTTTCACCCCCCAGCTGGAGGGCCGGAGTTTGGCTACCCCCTGATGTACCCTACACAGTCCGCGGCTCCTTCGGGGGCGAGTGCTACGGAGGATTTTTGGGACTTGCCATAAAGACCGTTTCTTGGACTTCATTAAGGGACACAGGATTCGCTGATTCAGAGACAATTAGGTTACGCTGCCTCCTGCAGGAGGGACTGGAATAAATGAGAATCGGAAAGTTGGCCGGCCAGGTATAACCCCTCCCACTCCCAGCATGCTTCAGTTTGGTAGAGAAGGAGATGACCAGCACAGAGGAGGAGGAGGGGGGGACCTCTCCGCGCCAAGAAATGGGGTTCACTGGATTCGGCCAGCGTCCAGTCGTGACGGCGGTGAGGCATTGTGGGCGGAGCCATATCTACGGGTCTATAAAATGTATAATTGGAGTCGGGGACGCCTTAAGATTGAAGTGCGTCGGCTCCTTTTAACGCCATCCCAAGAAAAAGACAACTAAATGCGCCTCATTGTAGCGTCAGAAAAGACAAAACGACTGGAATGATACGAATCTGAAGGCCGACTTTAATCGACCGACCAGAGAACAAAATATAAAACGTCGGTTTCATAGTAAAAGATGAACGCTGTCGATAAAGCTGAATATGAAATGTTCCATCAAAAAAAAAAAAGTGTCGCATTAACCCCTTCCAGCCAGCAGGGGGCTCTCTTCAATGTCACTTCTTTGGAAAGCATTTCCCGCACTCGGGTCAGGAATGCGGCTTTTCCCCAGGTGAGTGTTCCGATGTTTGACGAGTCTTGATTTCCGTGGATAACATTTCCCACACTCGGGGCAGGAGAACTGCTTCTCCTGGCTGTGGTATATCTGATGTTCCGTTAGATGGGACCTCCGGGAAAAGCATTTCCCACACTCGGGGCAGGAATGTGGCTTCACGCCTGTGTGTGACTTCTGATGTGCGTTAAGATGGGACTTCTCGGAAAAACACTTCCCGCACTGGGGGCAGGAATACGGCTTCTCGCCTGTGTGCAACCGCCGATGTTTGGTAAGACCGGTCCTATCGGAAAAACATTTATAGCACTCGGAGCAGGAATACGGCCGCTCCCCCGTGTGAGATCTCTGATGTATGACGAGATCGGATTTTCGTGTAAAACTTTTCCCGCACTCAGTACAGGCGTAAGGCTTCTCCCCCGTGTGTAATTTCTGATGTCTGGAGAGACAGGACTTCAGTGAAAACCATTTCCCGCACTCGGGACAGGAATACGGTTTCTCCCCCGTGTGAGATCTGTAATGTACCACCAGTTTAGATTTATGAATAAAAGATTCTCCGCACTCAGAACAGGAATGAAGCTTCTTCACGCGGCGAGGTTTCTGATGAGCGGCCACACGGGGGCCAGAGCCAACAACGTCCCCACCTTCAGAGAAATGGCTCCTCCTCCCCTGAATTCTTGCACCATCCCCCACCGGACGAGGCCGCTCAGAGTCAGAGGGATTCCGTGGTCTCTCCACACTGTGAGGTCCACCATCCATAGCTGAGCTCATTGTCTCTTCTCCCGCACAATCTGCTGTGATGTCCTCATCTTCCATCTTACAACCTGGAGATAAAGTCAGAGGATCCTTTGAGGGTTCCTCCATGGCGTGTCCTGGAAACATAGAGACACATGACGGAGAGATATGAGAGGGTTAGATGACTTCACTCAACATTCCATCTGGATCAGGAGGTCTGAGGGAGCGGATGTTCTATGAGGAGGTCCCAACCAGCCGGGGCTCCTCCCCCTCTTCACTCAACATTCCATCTGGATCAGGAGGTCTGAGGGAGCGGATGTTCTATGAGGAGGTCCCAACCAGCCGGGACTCCTCCCCTCTTCACTCAACATTCCATCTGGATCAGGAGGTCTGAGGGAACGGATGTTCTATGAGGAGGTCCCAACCAGCCGGGGCTCCTCCCCCTCTTCAGTCAAAGGGCCTCCTCCCAGATCACTTCTACATTGACACAGCCTTGTCAGAGGAGCCAATGGGGACTGGGAGGAGCATGCTCTTCACCCAACCACAAGCCTAGGCACTGAGTTACGTGATCTCTAAAGGAACAAAGTTCTGACCCGCTAGAACCTTCAGCAGAGAAGAAGTGACCACAGGCCGAGGCTTCTGGAACTGCGAGAGGAACCCAACCAGCTGAACCCCCAGGACGGAGGCCGAGGCTTCCGGAACTGGGAGAGGAACCCAACCAGCTGAACCCCCAGGACGGAGGCCGAGGCTTCTGGAACTGCGAGAGGAACCCAACCAGCTGAACCCCCAGGACGGGTATCAGTAGAGGGAAAAAAGGGGTGTAGAGCGCTACTACCGAGAAACAAATGATATTAAATGTCATCTATTCATTGGAGAAAGAACAAATGAGTGGAACTTACGCTTGGAAGTCGGCAAATACGTCAGGGATGGTGAATCGGTGAGCGGCGTCTAGAGGGGATCCAAAGCAGGATGCTACAGCGATGGATGGATGGATGAGGGGGCACTGTGAGAAATCCTAGCGGCACGCGTGCACGGCAGCTATGGGAGGGAGGACCGCGGCGGCTATAAGAACAAGACTGCGAACGGCTATAAGAACGAGACCGCGGCGGCTATGTTCGGTGTGCGTATAAAATGGTCAGACAGACAGGCTGAGTCTACGGAAAGACGTCTAGGTGGGTGGATGCTGTGCGCGCGGACGGGCTCTCTGTATCGTGCACGGCTACGCGTTTCGAGGCGCAGCCTCTTTTTCAAGTCTCAGAACAAAGACGTGTGGCGGGAGGCACGGAGCACTTTAAATCCGACGCGTGGGAGGAGCGTGTGCGCGGTTGGCCGGGTCCCATGTAACTTTGTAGCGTCACCTCTTCTGTGTCATACACTGCGGCACTTCATTATTCCAACTGTCTGCTGCATCTCCAGTGCTTTTCCTAAGAGTGCGCACACACACACCAAAGAACTGCTTTTAATATTAAAGGAGAACTATGGGGAGGGGGAGGGGCTTGTCACTCACCTCATAGTTCTAGCCGACCTGTGACAATGAGACCGTCACAGGTCGGCTCAGTAGATCGGGAGGTGAGGGAACACATACCGGCGTTCGCTCACCTCTCGATCCTGTCGCGGCGCTCTGCCGTGACAGGGGAGGGGCTGGCTTCCCCCCTCCGATCCCCCAGCGCTGACTGGTGGAACGGACGGGGGGGGGGGC